TTGACAAAATCTTCATCTATAAAACAGGTTGAGACTCTTAAATCTAATAAGATAAAGAATTTGTGATTTTTAGGTCTTAAATAAATATCTATTATAAAACAAGGTGAAAGATGTGAGGAGAGAATAAGACCTTTACTAGGCATTGCACATGATTCCAGCCATATGGTCCCTATTGTAGCTGAAAAAACTCATTTTCCAACACATTATCTTCTTTGGTAATTGTACTCCTCATTTTGTAACTGCATTGCTTCTTTGGATAATGTTGATTAGTGTGTTTAGTTTTTCCATAATATAAACACAAATCCTCTTGGTAATGTTGAGTGTTTTCCTGCTTCGTGAAAGATTTAAAACATATCATATCAATTTGGATTGGATCCGGCCTTGATGAATATGTTTCAAAAAACTTTAGAGCTGATGCCATTATTTGACTTGTACCTCTTCAGCCAAGTCTTTGTTTTTTATGCCTTTCAAATAATTGATTATTGCATGCAATGGCTTGAGTAATAAATTGTTCTAAAGATTCTACTTTTGGCATTGTTAATAACAAATCTTTGATGTTATCCTTTAATCCATATCAAAATTGATTGATAACTGCTTTATCATTACAGTCCACATTGCAAGTGACGTTTTGGAATTCAGCAGCATATATGGTGGCTACTTGTGATCCTTGTCATAAAGATAAGAACTTGGTCTCTGCTATTCTTTTTTTATCACTTTTTTTAAATGTGGCCGCAAATATTCTAGAAATAAATTCAATTTATAAAGGAATTATGAATGTTTCTCTATTAAAACTGCAAACCAAGAGAGAGTACTTCCTAATAGAAGTGTGTCTATGAATCCGACTTGAGTAAATCCATTGGGATATTGGAAAGGATGCAACCTTAGATAGAGCTTGACTTGTTGTATAAATCCTTAAAATTTCGATCTTCTTCCATCAAACTTTTCAAGCATACTAATTTTTGCTCTTGTCATACTTGTAGAAGAAAAACTCTTTAGATTTGGTTGTGAGGTCGATCTACTTGCTTCCTTTAACTACACAATTTCTTGCTGTAGACTCTGAACTTCTTCCATAGGTATAGGTATAGTATTTCCATGATTCATATTCAAAATATGTGAGATTTCTACTCTTAGGGTGTTGACAAGTTCATAAAGATCTGTAATAGTTGCAAATCTATTTTCACATCCACTAAGAACAACGTCCATAATCTTTCCTTCCATAGACAATTCAAAAAAAATTTAAAAATTAAATTAGAGGAGGATAATTTGTAATCTCTAATAAAAAATTTCACAAAGATGGATAATCCACTCTCTTTAAAGAAAAAGATCAATGTTAGAAAACAAGATTTTTTGTTTTAAGGTGGCTACAAAATACAACAATAGAAGGAAGATAATCTATTCACTTCTAAAACAAGATAGAAACAGTATGTTACCACTCTTATCAAATTGTCAAGGACATAAATCTCAAAGAAAGAGAATCCTCAATATATTCTTATGTCATTGAAGAGAACTAGAAAGTCACTCCAAAGGTAATGTAATATTAACTAGAATGGCTATTGCCAAAAACAAGAAGATTAGAAAGACTTAAAACAAGACTAAGGACTAGAACGGCATTGACAAGAATAAAGGAGGCTTCACTCTTGCTTCTTTACATACTTATAATTAGAAGCTATATTATTAGAGTAGAGAGAATTTGCCTCCAAAAAGCACTGGGCTCTTGGCTGCTACTAATTATTCAATCAAGTCTTAACATAAGAAAGACTAAGTTTATATCTATATATATATATATATACATATACAATACTTTTAGATACTATTACATCAAATACATAAATCTTAAGTTTCTAAAAATATCCAAAATATGATAAAACCTCTAAATTCTTAAATATCCTTATAAAATATTATTCTTGAAATTCAATTAAACTCATATCTTCCAATTGGACTATTCAAACACACTTAAATTTTATATGAAGTACTAATGTACTTCTAACAACTACTACAACAAATTTCAATTGCAAAATCATTGCGGATCTTAAGATATAACCAAAATCCTATTAGTAGCTTCAAACCCTAATTTTTATACACCTGTATGTAATTTTCTTCATATCTCACAAACTAAGCACTAAAATGCCACAAAATTTGTATGTATAGTTTTTCACCACAATAATCTACTTTTTCTAAAAGGTTTGAGCAGTCTCCTTGAAGCCCATTGGGAATGGCCTTCGACCAATAAGAATGAAGATTCTCATTCTTTGCCTTCATCCAACTATGTCTTGCTTTCATCCCTCCCAATAAGCCTCTTACTAGTTTAGATTTTCATCTTTAGGCTCTAATCTCTTCTTAAGGCTTCATACTAAATATTTAGGTCTTATAATTTTTTTAAATGTTATAATCAAAATAGATAAAATTCAAAATAATTTTTTTTATATCCACTCTCTTTAAATTAATCTATTAACCATTCTAACTTACACTAAGACTTATGAATATATTATATGTTTTAACTAATTTTTACATACTATAAGCAATTACAGTACAACAACATGGTGATGTCTTATAGGACTTCTAAAACATGTTGACTTTGCTAATCTCATGTCTTAATTTGCAAGGCAAGGTATCTATGTATACACCACATAATTACCTTGTTTCACAAGCTATTACATAAATTTAATTTGTTCCACAAGCTACCAACATGTGGTTAGCTTATTGGCCAAGTTTCTAACCTACAAACACATCTAAAGTTAAAACCACTTCTATGAAGCTTCTAAAAAGCTTTTCTAGAGGACTTTATGAAATTAATCTATATTTACCTACTTCTACCTATTCATATAAGTAATTATTGAGATAAATATATATATCTGTGACAACAATAGAAGCCGAGTATATGGCAGCAAGCCATGTTACAATGGATGCAATATAGCTTAGATGACATTGGAGTAGTACAAATCAAAGCAACTTCAATGGAATGTGACAATCAAGGATGTCTTGCATTTGCAAAGAATCCAAAATATCATTCAAGGACCAAACACATTGACATTTAACATTACTTCATAAGAAAGAAAATTGAAATGGAAGTAATTAATATAAAGTATTGTACAACGGAAGACATACTTGTTGATTTGTTGACAAAGACATTAGTAAAGGATAGTCGTTACATGTTGACAAAGGCATTAGGATTGAAAGCCTTTGACTATTAGTAGAAATATTAAATTAAATAAATAAAAGTGAAAGTAAAATAAGTTATATTATAAAATATATTTTTTAGATAAGTTGCTATTGATCAAAAAGTTTGCTTTATGATATGTAAGAAGGCCAAGAAATATGGTACATGAAAAGACAAAAGATCTTAAGAGTATAAAAAATTTGCTAAAAGCTTATTTTTATAGTAGATAAGATAGCTATGGATAGTCTTAATAGAATGTTGGATGGATATATTTATTAAATGATAGAAGTTATCCATTAAGGTAGCAACGACTACCTATAATTAATGGATGTTGGAAGTCAGAGACATCTTATTCCATATTCTCTTTGTGAGCAACTTTATTAATGCTATGTGTTGGTGATTTTAAAGTTTTTTTTTTTTTTTTTTTTTTTTTTTTTTTTCAATAATTTTTATATATTTATACAAAAATTAATATTAATTTATCACTCTTTATATAAAATGAAATAGAATGTTTGATTTATGGATATAAAAGTATAAATGATATTATTATTATTATTATTATTTTATTAATTAAAATATATTTATTTTTATCAATTAAATATTTATATTATGTACTTATATATTTATAAATCTTATCCTTATTATTATTGATATAATTGATATAAAATTTAGCTAAAAATATTATACATCAATTAAAAAGTTTCTATAATATCTAAATTATCATAGTCTAATAAATAAATAGAAGTATTCATAAATTTTCTATTATAATATTTGATATGACATGAATGTATTGTCTATATTACAATAGGCTATTAGAATTTTTTAAACTTTCATAGTTCTAATTTGTGCAACATAATGGATGTCTCAACAAGCGCATATTTAGGATGTAGAAATTCATTAAATTTTTTAAAAGATTTAAAAAGTCATCTATTTATGTATTTATTTGTAAATTTTAATGATAAACATCAGTTATGGTAACTAGAATAAGGTAAAAAATAGTAGAATATAACTACTTCAAAAAACACATTCTAAAACCATTAATTTCATAAATTTATTTATTTGTTTGCTTATTTATTTCCGCTCGTTAGGTTCATGCTTTTCAATTCAAAGTTTAATAAGAATACAACGGTATTCTCCACAGCACCAACACAACAGTGTAGAACCCATGCAACTATCACTCAAATGATCAGCTTAATAAAGAAAAAATAGTGTGTTTGCTGGAATTAGTATCCAATGGAGTCCACGTTTGAAGTGGCTCAGGCCACAACTGGTCCATTTCACATATAAGACAACAGTATTAGAAAAGATTCTATTCACACAGCAGCGACGAACGAGAAACAGACGGAGAGGGGACCCGCCACGTCAAGACCAACGACTCCGACGAGGCCCTCCACGCCCAACCTCATTCAAACGACGAAAGAAAGGAGGATCGGGGGGAACGGGGTAGAGCTAACCAGATTCCCCAGGCGCACTGCATGTTCCCGGTCGCGTTCTCAAGGCCATCGCTTACGCAGGAACCTCCCAGTCAAAGTTCAAACCTCGGAGCCAATTTGACTGAGAAACTGGGAACCGGATCCAAAATATTGATGCCAAAACTGCCCCCCCCCTCCACACCAAAGCAACGCACGAACGAACGAATGAACGAATGAACGAACGAACGAACGAACGAACGAACGAATGAATGAACGAATGAACGAATGAACGAACGAACGAATGAACGAACGAACGAATGAACGAACGAACAAACGTTTCTCTCTCTCTTTCTCTCTCTGATGACAGATTCTGAAGGGACCACCGGCTAATCCGGTTCCGCTGGACCCCTCGTCGTCTAATCGCCCCTTCCGAGGTAGCAGTTGGGTTCTGGCGATGGCAGGTGACGAGATCCGTGATTTTGGTTGTGGTGGAGCTCGTTGGATGTAGCTAGTCAGATAGGCGGAGAAGCTGTTGATGTGGGTGTGTGAGTGTGTCTCTGTGTGTTTGTGTGTGTGTGAGTGTCTCTGTGTGTGTGTGTGTGTGTGTGAGTGTGTCTCTGTGTGTGTGTGTGTGTGTGTGTGAGTGTATTGGGGATGTGTTGCTGCTTTTTCCTGAAGCGATGGGGTCAGCTCCTTCTGGAAGTGTGTCAGGAATGGGTTTAGTGTAGTATAGGGAAGAGGGAAACGGAGGGGAATGCTATCTTACCATACTGTTTATTTTATTTTATTTTATTATCGTTATTATTTTTCTCTTGTCTTGCTCATCGCCCTCTCCTTCGACGTCCTGTGTGGGCAGCTCTCCTGCAGTGCATTGGCGTTTGTTGGGTTGGATTTTTAGGGGTAAGAATATTTAGGGTCTGATCCTCCGGTGTTGGCTTTGATGCGTCCTTGTCTCGGTAGCGGTACGTTGGGACAGTGTACCTGGTGTGGGTTAGTAGGGTGGCAGCGTCAGGAACTGGTGTAACATGAAATGCTTGATGTCGACACCGCCCTGGGGGTGATGAGAGGAGTGTCGTGATTGGCTTCTAGGGGGCTGTTATCGAGGGTCGAAACCTTATTTTGGGGGTTTAAGTTGTTCAATTAAGTGTTACATTAGGTTTGAATTTCCTTAGTCATGGATATTGGCAAAGTTGTAAAGTTCTCGTGGTGAAGGTGGTCTCTGCACATTATTCCGTCCAGAATGAGATCAAGGATGCGTTTGTTTTTTGTCCCGGCGCTATTCATTGAAGACTGATTCTGGGACAACGATCAGGAGATGAGTTTCTTTGTTTGCATTTCAGCGAACGAGAGCAGCCTTTCATTAGCATACCTCGACGGAATCGCGACCTTAACTCGCGTATGTATGTCTGGGCAACGTCAGGTGCACACAGTTGTCGTCGACAAAATTCGATTAGCAGCTGCAGTCGTCCTCGACATTAGTGACCCACCAGGCAGCTCGTCACAGTTGCAAGTGCACGGAACTCCTTAACAGTAAACCTGTATACTGGGTTGACATGTTTCTCAGGATTGCATTGGAAATCTGGGTACTTTATGTGAAGGTTCGGTAAAGAGACCTGAGTCGGCAGGTTTGGATTTGGTGGCGTTGATAAGGTGGGCTAGGCAACCATGGGCGAAGGTTGGTTCTCAGTTACATGTTCGCCGTCGGTCCCATCGGAGGGGGCGGCACGTTTCAACGGTTCCTAAATCTTAGTTCAAGGGTTGCAACAGTTGCAGGTGCTTGCTGGCAGCACATATTATTTTGATATTTCTGCTTGTCATTGACTTGTCCTAGTCAAATTAGCCTCACTTTCATCTGTTATATGCTATGATGGTTTATGCCCTTCATCTATTGAGGCTTATTGAGTATCTTAGCCCTTATTTTTCAGGCAATGACATGTTCACCATTGAAGCTTCGCAATCGTGTGTCTTACCTGCACAGGGAAGAATTGTCACGGCTTTTCTCGCTTGGTCGCAGTGCGGAGCAGCAAATGTGACAGAATGCCAGAGAGGTCGTGGCATTTACTGCTGGTTATACCAGTACTTCTAAGCTTGTACGAAGCCGCAGTTTCCGCTACTCCACAGGAAGGTGGGTAGTGATCAGATGAAGTCCACCTTATTTCTTGGTCACTTTAGTATGGCCACAGTTCGTTCTTGTGGACTTGTAGATTTCTAAAGCATTTTGGAGGACGTGGAATGAGTATGTCACTCTGCAACTCAATTTGGGGGAAATCGCTGCAGTGGGCTACTTGGTGCTCTTCGTTGATGTTATGAAGTTTTAATCCTCTGTATTTCCTACTAAACCTAGTCTCTGTTGGTTCATACTATTTGTTCTCTTCAGAGACCTAGAGACCTGATTATAGACTACATTTGTGACTAGACTTGCAGTGTATTATCTAATTTTGTTCTGGTGATGTGAGATGTTGTTTAAGGTATAGTATCTGAGGTTAAGATCTATGAAACTGAGATCAGGATTGGGTGCAGTGAAGTTCTGATAGTTCTGATAGTTCTGTGTTTCAGCTGCTGTGTTGGCACAGCTTAAGGATATCTGGAGTATAGGAGACAACAAAGTGAATCGCTGGAATGAAAGTGTTGATGCTTGCAATGGGCCTTGGCCTGGCATCACTTGTGGGCTCAAAGATGCAATTACAGTTCCAAAAAAGTGCCTTATCTCTAACACTTCTTGCAAGGTCACTCACTTGTAAGATCTCTTTCCTGATTATTGATAAAAATATGTATGCTTTTAATATATAAACACACTATGCTCGAATTTCGATTTCTTACCCTTATCTTTGTCTGTGCTCGTTACAGAAGATTTATCATTTTAAATTTTGGTCGCGTCTGGGCTCGTTGTAGACCTTTCTTTTTTGTTTAATATAAAGCTATGCTTGATAGTTTATCTTTTTCAGTGAACTATGCACGGAGTCTGTTGCTGAGTTAACCCTTGTAATTCTTGATTGCAGGGATTTATCGAACAGTAGCCTCACCGGGGAGATTCCGTTCATCCTGGGAGGCTTGTCTAACTTGCTGTCTCTGTAAGTTTGTTGCTTATCTGCGCTCGCCTCGTCTTGTCTTGAAAGCCGTGTGTATTTCTATTTTAGTTGAGAATGGCTTTATTATTATTACATTTAGCTTGCTTTGTGTTGAATGTTGAATCCATTTGTATAGCTTCATGCTCGCGTATGCCTCAAAATTTATGAGGAGTATCGAAACCATGCCTGCATTGTATTTACTGCATAAAGAATCCCAATTCCGTCAATTGAGCCCATGTAGATGTTTTTGAAGATGCTTATCTGATATCTCACTGTATTTCTTACCTTTCATTTCATTTTACAACAGAATTTGTAACCTAAATCCGGATATTCCACGTTGTTATTTACAGGGATCTACACGGAAACCAACTTGTAGGAGAGGTTGCTACACAACTTTTCTACGGCTTTCCACATCTCTGCCACGTTGACTTCTCCTACAATTACTTCAATGATACCATTCCAAAGCTCAATCGTGCTAAAATAGAGGATTCAAATTGGGAACACAACTGTTTCTCAGAGTACGGTGGATGCCGACTACTACCTAACATGCGTCCCTTGTGTGAGTGCCAAAACATGACTGCACTGTTGCTCCCCAAGTGTCCTTCATGGGTTCGAAAAAACCCTATTGTCCTTTATGTCCTAGTGGGTGTTTGTCCCTTCAGTGTAATCCTCTGCAGCTTCCTCGTTGTAATGTTTTGCTTCTTGCGGAGACAACGGAAGAATCCAATCATTAGGAGGACGTGTTCGTCGAAGATTCAGTCTGTCGAGTGCAGGCCGTTCACATACCAAGAGCTAGAGGAAGCGACAAATAATTTTCATGATAACCGGTTACTTGGCTGCGGTGGCTCTGGAAGTGTTTACCAAGGCAGGTTCGCTAATGGCTCATGCATGGTCGTCAAGCAGTTGGTGAAGGCAGCAGATTATGGAGACACTGATTTCTGGAAGGAGGTTCTTACTATCGGGGCCATTCATCACCCTAATGTGGTTCGACTTCGTGGATATTGTAAAGAATCTCGAGGTCTAGAACGTCTACTAGTGTACGATTACATGCCTAATGGTTCCGTCCTGGACGCTTTGCTCAGCAATGATGTCCATTTACTGCCTTGGAGTCGACGGTACAGCATTGCTCTGGCAACAGCTTGTGGGTTGGAATATCTTCATGAACACTGCTCGCCGCGCATCATCCACAAGGGTGTGAAGCCGAGCAACATCCTTCTTGACAGAAATTTCACTGCAAGGGTCGGTGACTTTGGTCTTGCCAAAATTGGCTGTTCAGAGCAAACCCACATCGGACCACAAGTGTTTGTAGACCCAGATTACGTACTGACTGGAAGGCTGACAGATAAGAGTGACGTTTTCAGCTTTGGGATGTTTCTGTTGGTCCTAATCAAGGGTCGACAGGTTCTTGAGACTCCAGGTGCGTACTCCGGTCCTCGAGTTCATGGGCGATCTGGATGAGTTACCATAAAGCACCAATTTTGCGGCATTGTCTTATGGAGTCCAGACAGGGCTAAAGTCCTGTCTCTTCACTTCTTGCTTTATAAGAGGTCTGAACAATTGTAACATCCTGTTGGCGTGATCAATAAGTTAATCATTGTCTGCTTCCATTGTCTCACAGGTAAAGCGCAGCTTTTCTCCAGAATACAAGTGCTTGCGAAAGCTGATGATCCCTCCGATTTTGTGGATCCGCGCCTGAGAGGTGTCTTTGACAAAACGCAAATTACTCTTTGCGCACAAATTGCCCTGCTTTGCACAAGAATTCTTCCAGATCTACGACCAACTATGGGCGAAATACGGCGAATCTTAGATGGGACTGCGAATATACCTTTGACTACAAGTTTGATTAACAGCCCAGGTTCTTCCTCCCGTGGCAGCTTCGCTTCCGAGTGCCCTACCCCGTCCATTGGAAGCTGTTATGGACACCGTGCTGGAAGCTTCATTTCTGATTGCTACATGTCCTCCAGCATTTGCCATGGAGGATCTGACAGCGTCTAATCAGATAGTTCCAAATTACCAACTTCCTTGACTATGGATTGCCTCGTGAGAACAGTGCACACGCAGCTGCCGAGGATATCTTGAAGTCGTTATGAAAGTGATTTGTCATTAAAGAATAAGGCTCAGCGATTGAATTGGAGCTCATTTTAGCTCTCTGATAGCAAGAATCAATAGTGGAAATGACTTCACATATCTGTCGATCGATTGACCTTTTGTGACATCCGAGCTATTATCCTTATCTACAGCAACACTACAGGTGATCTGATGTATTGCCATTCGAACCTTCCCATTGGCCTGACATGACAGTATGCGGCAAGGCTAATCTTGGGTGGAATGTCTCGAAGCATGTCAAGCATGTCACGACACGAAACTAAGTATTGCCCTGAATGTTCTGAAGTTAACGAAATTTTGCCTGAGACCGCGTTCCTTTGTATTTTAGACGTCGATTGACTCACTTCCAGGCCTATCGATGCGAGCGCTGTTCAATTGGAAACGAAGAGTTAAGTCCTCACAGTTTTATTATGTGGTTCCTCTGGTGGTGGAGTTGGTCAACTCCTGTAAATATTCACTTATTTGATATTCAAGTGCTCCCTTTCTTGCTGATATGATGTGCTTTGTTACTATGCCATTTTCTTCCTCTTTGGATAATCTATTTTAGGATCAGCGTTTGATATCTGCAGTGGGTTAAATACTGTTTGAGATGCATTAGCATTAGTCTGCTTGAAGCCTAATTCAGATTCTGAGGTTCATGATCAAGCTGAATTCAGTTTTTCATCTCCAACATATTCTTATGTGGATCTCTTGTGTGCCATTTTACCTCAGAGATGTGATGTAGAAAGGATCAATTCCTTCATGTCTTAAGCGTGGTGATTTTAATCAACAATCTCAAGGCATATTCATTTTGTTGCAAGTGGAGTGAAGCTTTGGGATCTATAGGTATTTGATAGTTTGCTAGTGCTTTTGATGGTTCAATACCGAAGTATATATATACTAAGGCGTAATCTGATAGAATGATGCATCAGACAGATGGATGTATTGATACGGTTTCAAGCCCAAGTCATTGGCAGGACAAAGTTTTCATTTTTACCTCACATTTTTATATATTTTTCATGTGTGATTTCATTTGTATTAGTTGACAAAAGTTCCTTAAGAACCACTAAGCCTGTATGTCAAATATCTAAATTAATTAAATGTTCTTTTTTAGTAAACATCTCTTCATTATTTCTTGAAAGATTAATTTTAAAATATTTTTTTATTACCACTTCTTTATTCTTTAAATTCTATTTCTAATAATAATGCTAAATTTAATACTAGTATAAAATCAATGTACCTAAATTTTATTTTTTTAAAAAATATTTTTTCACAATTAATGTTATTCTAAATTTTTATTTCACATGAAGTTTTAGATGTCTAATTTATACCTTATATGTATATATATAAATATATATATATATATATAAATATATATAGTTAGATGTTTAAATTTATAATCAGAACATTGTGAAAGTGTATACAGTAAAGAAAACATTTGATATAAGCAAATTAAAGATGCAACTGAGTAAAGAGTTTGATATAAAATCTCTAAGACTTGCTATAGAATTTTTGACATAGATATCCATGGAGAGTGAAAGAAATGTAGACTTTAGATATCCTATAAAAATATATTAGATAAGTATTAACGTATTTTTTCATGGAAAAAACAACATCAATAAGTATTCTTTTTTAGTATCTGGTTTCAGCTTATCTTCAATAGAATATCTTAACATTGAAAATGTAGCCAAAAAAATGCTTATTATTCTACATGCAAGAGCAATAGATAGTATCATGTATAGCATGGCATGTGCTAGACTTGATATCTTATATGTTGTAAGTGTAGTCAACATATATTTGACAAATTTAGAGAAAAAATTGATAAGTAGTAAAATAGATGCTTTATAAGATTTGTTAATGCTGATTTTGCTAAAGACATAAAAAGAGGTCTACCACAAGTTGACTTTATTGATGGTTAGTGGACCTTCAAGATGGACTTTACAATTAATAACTCATTTAAAAATTGAATTAAGTATATATATTTATATTATTGGTAAAAGTGGAGTATATCCAATATATTAATTAGTGTATTGAGTACAAGGCATATAACAAAACAAAATACAATGAGTTGGCCAATAAATAAAGCACATCTTCTAGTAGTCATTTATATATATTTTAGAAATTAGTGTTAGTTCTAACATTTATAATAATACCATTGTGGGAAAATTTTTAAATTCTATACAATTATTTTCAAATGTCTAGTGCTAATCATTTTCTTAGCCATTTAAGTTTTATTCTACCTATGGAGCACATTAAAGTATATTAATATTACAAAAGCAACAAAAAAATATTTTTCTTTAAATAAATTACTAATAAAGTTTTTTTTAGTAGATCACATTTTCTTACATTATGATAGTTAGAAAAATATAAAAATAAAAATAGATATAATATATTATGATATTCAAATGCCATTGTTGATGGCAAGGTTTAATTGGAGAACATAGATACAAAAGCGAATAGAGAAAAAATATTGACAAAACCAACAATTGTTGAAAAGTTTAATTTGTATATGAGCTTGTTGAATGCGAAATATGCTTTGTAGAATATTTATTATCATTTTTGATTTTATAATATATCAATATAATGCTATAGCATAGATTTAGCATAGAGAAAACAAAAAATAATATTTTTAGATTGAAAGCTTTGAGCTTCGTAATTCTAGTACTAGCTTGATAGTCTTTTTTCTAATATAATCACTACTATTTTTATTTTTTATACTTCTATTTTCTTCTTTTGCATTTAATTTAATTTTATAGTGATTCTTTTTATGATTTTTTATTTTTTTATTTTTTTTAACTTTATTTACTTAGTACTTGCAAAAGAATATTTAAGCTAGGCCATTTCTTTATTTTTTGTATTAATCTTAAGTTAATATTAGGCAGTCAAATTTTGATAGCTTTAATGTATTTGAAACTAATCCCATTAATTGTATTCGATTCTTTTAGGCTTTTTATTCTCTTTGTATTTGAAATTAATTTTTTTAATATAATTTATTAATAATTTTTTGATTAATAATTTTAATTTGATTTTTAGCTTGTAAATAATATTGTGTATTTTTTTTATTTATTAAAAATATTCTGATTAAATTTATAATAATCTTATTTATTTATTTTATTTCTATCAATAAAGAATAAATTTGGACATCTTTACCAAATAATGATCTCTTTATATAAAAATTTGGTGGTACTTCTTACATCATTGATTCTTATTGTCTTGGTTTTGTCTACTTTTAAAAATATTTTATTTTTAAAATTATTAAATCCATAAAATTAAATTATTTTAAATAGATTTATTAATATGATCAATTTTCATATAAAGAAATTAATTCTTGTTGATTTTCTTATTATTAAAAATAGACTTAAAAATTCTATTTATTAATATATCATTGGATATTATTAATAGGGATTATACATTGTTACATTATAATTGGAATTTTAGGACTTATGAGATTAGAAATAAGTATCTTTTAATGCTTTTTGATTTATTAATTTTTAAAAAATATATAATCTATGTTTGATTGAAGCAAGTGCTGAAATTGTACAATGATTCATTTGAAAATATATTAGCAAGACATTTGAAGTTATAGCCATTATGCTTATAGTTCTTGAAATCCATAAGAATTTCCAAAACTTTGATAAACTTCCTAGTTGTATTGCAATGCATTCAAAAAAATATAGAGTTTTGACAAATGTGTTTGGTTCTAATATTCTTAAAAGTATACTGTAGTAAGTATGATCTTAACACACAAAGCTATAAGACATCTAATTGTAAAGCATGAATTTTGAAGAGGAAAAAAAATCATATTTATAATATTTTTCCTTTTTTTTTTAAACAAGGACATATTGACATTTTTTTTATCTTAATATAAACATCTCCAAATTAATTATAAATGTAGTTAAAATACTCTTACTTTTAAACTCTGACAAAAATTAGTGTTTTTATTCTTTCAATTATTAATATTAATCTATTGGATTTTATCACAGACATATACATGTAAGCTAGTAATTACCTACATAAATAGGTAGAAGTAGATAGAATAGGTAAAAGTAAGTTAATTCTAAAATATCTTCTAAACAAGCTTCTTAGAAGCTTTAAAGATGAAACTTTGACTTTATAGGTGTCTATTATTGACTTATAGGTTAGAAACTTGGTCAACAAATTAACCAAGTACCACACATATTGGTAGCTTGAAGAACAAGGTAACAATATGGCAAACATATAAAAAAACTTGCCTTGTAAATCAAAGCATGTGTCTTACAAAATCAACACATATTGGAGGTCCTATAAAACATGACCATGTAGCTTCTAGTTAGATAATAAATATAGAGACAAGAGTTAAGCCCTCTTCACTCTTGTCAACTCTTTTCTTACTTCTATTCCAGTTTCAAGAGTCTCAAGTTTTCTTTTCTTTTGGCAATAAGACATTCCAGTTTCTTTTTAATATACACACTTTCTTATTTTTATTTTGTCACTTTTTTTTTGACATGGATTTTATTGGTTTATACATCAACTTCTAATTCATGTCCTTGATAAATTGACAAGAGTACACTTACAATATCAAAGCTTTGTCTTATCTTCATTAAAAAAAGATTACCCCTTTCTCATAATAAGACATAAGCCTATTAGAACTTGTGGATTATCCTCTTCTAAAATGATATTATTTTTAGTATTTTCTTTGTCCTCAAGTCATTTTTTCTACTTATCTTGAGTAATATTAGATATTTTTTTGAATATTATTATAACAAAGCTTGTTAAAGTAAAGACTGTAATGACACAAATGCAAGAGGAATTGAGAGAGTTGATACTTGCAATGCATCAACTTAGCTTAATACCACAAGGATCAACAATAATAATAAGAAGTGATGATGTAGAGATGATTAGAGCTGTTTCAACATCTATACCAAATCATGTCCTTCCACTCATGATGGAACATCTTTTAAGTGTTAAAGAACCAAGAATTGTCCTACCTGAGAAGTTTGATGGTACAAGAACCAAATTTCAAGGCTTTATCAATCAAGTACAATTTGTGATTGAACTTCAACCTCAAAGCTATCCAACTCTAGCATCACAAATTACATTCATTGGTATACTTTTTTTAGATTCAGTATTATCATGGTTTTTATCTTTTTTTAAATGACGAGATTCAATATTAAATAATTTGGAGGCATTTTTGGCATTATTTTGGTGCATGTATAAAAAATATGATCCAACTCGTGTTGCAACCAACAAGATCTATATTTTGCAATAAGGTAATTGATCTATAACATTATATGCTTCACAATTTTGACAACTTATAACTGATATCAAGTGGAATGATGTTGCATTTATTAGCTAATTTTTCTATGAATTATAATATAAAGTAAAGAAATTCATGCTCAACTTATCTAATCCTTAAATATTGAGTCAAGTAATTGACTTTGTTGTAAAGTGTAACAATTGACTTTTTGAATTTCGATCTAAGAGCCTCAATATTTCTACAATTTGATGGCAATACCAACATCTCTTCAATACATACATTCAAAAGTAGAAGATATGTAAATTGATGTGGTACGTTTTAAACTTCTTATCGAGCAAGAAAAGACTCATTGCTGTCAAGAAGGATTGTACTTATATTGTGGAGAATCTAAACATACTGTTCAATATTATTCAAAAAAGTGACCAAACCACAAAATGATGAGCACATCTATCAAAGAAGACAATGTGTCAAAAAACGAATTTGTCCAACTACAATAGGGACTGTGTGGTTGGAATCTTGTATAATTTCTAATGGAGGTCCTACCTTCTCTTTAGAATACTCTCTTTGTTTTATAATAGATGTACATTTAGGACCTCATAATTATAAAGCTTCTACCTTGATAGATTCAAGAGTCTCAGCTTGTTTCTTAGACGTAGAATTTGTTAAAAGTCATAAAATATCATTAGTACAAAAAACTAAACTTATTCATGTAGAAGTCATAGATGGTCGTCCATTGTCTTCGGGAGATGTTACTTATGAAATACTTCCTATAGATGTAGCAATAAATGGTCATAGTAGTTGC